GGGCAGCCAGCCAAGCCCCACTGGCAACCGCAGGAGCGGGACCCATTTCTGCCAGTTCTGGAGAAGGTCGTTCTCTACAGTCATTTCTTCCTGTCCCTGTTTTTTTTTGCTATTGTTTCTATAAAATGGAGCAGCTAAAGACCAGCTCTGCGCAGCACTAGTTCAGTTGTTTCCTGTTGTATTCCTTCTAACCCCTACACCATCATTTTTTTTTCCTGCTTGATTAAGAGCTGCAGTTGTTTCAGCTGCCTAAATAAAATAAAAATTCAAAACCCAAACCCACACGGCATGAGATCTGCATGCTTAGTGTTTTGTACCCTATATTGTAGAACTACGTATGTTCTTAAAGCATTCTGCGGTCTAGCAAGGTATTTCAATAAAACAGTTGAGAAATTTGGGGATAATACCACCTTCATTCTGTCCATCAACAATTCTTACCACAAATGGGACCAACAGAAAAGGGAGTTAATGCCCTTCTCTTATGGAGATGCTTCTATTTTGGGGAAAGGTGTTTAAGAATTCCACCTCAGATAATTAAATAAAACAATGCAAGTCTGAGGCGTTTGTACTCCTGTTTCAGTTAAGTTTCAGTGAGATCTGCATCATTCAGAAACTCAGGACAGAGAGAATAACAGGATCACCAGGATTAAAGGGGTAATACTTTGAATATTTAAAAAAAATAACTTGGATTAAAAAAAAAAATAGTATCTCAACACATCTACACTCCTTCAGCTCCTTTTGCAATTGGCTGCACCTAAACCATGACAACCAACCTAGAAAACCTAGACCTCTACCTGTAGAACAACTGAGGTGTATCTCCCACAGCATCGCAGGTCACTACTAAATACACTCCAGCACCCCAAGACGCTTTGTGTGGTCAACTTCTAAGCAACCGTTTGCCTGCAATGGCAGAAGAACTACATTCCCTGCACCACGTGGTTACACAGGTGAACAGACACTTTATCTGTATTACAGAAGATGCAACAGGACTCAGTTTTATCAACAGGTCTAGCTGGGATCTTGGTCCTTGCTGCAAGAACAAGCTCACAGGCAGAAAAGACAAATCCAGGAAAAGTGGGCTGTTTGCAAGTTAGTGTATTTTCCCACGTTTCTCAAAACCTTGCAACCTCATGTCTAATATCCAGATGTCCAATATCCATGTCTAAGATGCCACAGACAGGAGGGAAAGTACTTTATTTAAAAGATCACAGAGTCTGACAGTTGTTAGACAAACTGCTTCCAGACACGTTTACAGATCAGCAATTGGCTTGTGGGGCCAGTACGGATATTTCTCCTTGTCCAGTCTAGTTTCAGGGAAGGCTTCATGTAAGTCTTCAAGTGTCATCTGTTCGAAGGGAATCATGCTTCTGAGCTTCTGAAGCTTGAAGTGGAAGCAGAGACAAACACATTACAAGTCAGTTGTCAACAAGAAAGAGCAAGAGAATAAGGAGAATAAGGTGTGTACCAGGCTGGGTTGAAGAGAATATTCACTAAGCAAAGGCCAGACTTACTTGTTGCTCATACTGGGCAATACGAGCTTTGGAAGCCTGCACATATTCAGCACTGCTCTTGGCCTGCAGGAAAGCAGAGGACATGGTGAACACAGTTATGATAAAGACAGTGACCTAGAGCAAACCTGCAACCCCATGCTTTAAGGAGGCATTAAAATTAATCATCATTACACTAGGCAAGTGGACAGAATCTTGATCAAATCCCAAACAGCCAAACCCTTTCATGTGCAGAGATCCACTTGCTCAGCCAAAAGCCAAAGACACATGTGAAGACCAGAGCCATACTCTAGCTCAGGCTGCCCTGCCTGTGCAGATGCACAAACAGAACATCCCTTCCCTCCCACCCCTTCCCATCCTCACAGAAGTCAGAGACAACCCGGGCATTAGGGAACAGTTTACACACTTACAGCTTCCTGCTCCTGGGCATCAATTTTGGCGGTCTGTGTATCCACCGGCTCAGGAACCTTCAGTGCACTGAACTGTAAATCGAAAAGAGAACATTTTTTATACAGTTTGTTTGATTGAAAGAACCCTTCACACCAAGGTTATTTCCCTTAGCGGCAGGGGAGCGTTCCCTCCTTTCTCCCTAGGAAATTCTTACCACCATGCAAGGTAACGAGCATCACTGCAGCTTGGCTGTGTCCTTCACAAGCAGCACTGCTCACCTCTGAGCTCAAAGCAGTCTATTCCGCACTGGATACCACCACCAGGACACATAATGCTACACATGTTCACCACAGGGTTGGAGCGAGCAAAGCATAGTATTTTAAGGAAGTAAGAAAATCTAATACCAAACACTTATCGTATCACAGATTTACTTCCCCCAAGACAAAGCTCCCAGATCCATCTGAGGCCAGTGGCCCTCCCAGTCTCCGGAGGCCAATTTTCATCGTGCTAGTGACGACATGTCCTTCGGCAAAAGCCTCACTCCTGCTTCTCAGTTCCTGCTTGTAAAGAGGATGGCAACTCCTGCAGGCATCTGCTAGCTTTACACGTTTCACACCTCCTTCTTCCATCCAGTGAGTTAGAGAAAGACTTTGAATGTTTGCTTTAGGAGAGGCACTACCAAAATTCACTCCAGCAGGCACAATAATTTATCAAGCATTCTTTCACCACTTTTCTCACCACGGAGTGCCACAAGTTTCCTCCTGAAAGATGGCACCTCTTCGAGGTCAGCAGGATGTCAAGCAGGGGCACGTGCTAGCCAAAACCAACGTCCTCCACCAGTTCTGGTGTGTTATCTCAGCACCAAAGACATTCCCCATCTAAACCTCCAAAGAGTAATACCCAGCCAACAAAGAGACCGACCTTCTTCTGGAACTCATCCACCATGCCAGCTTTAGCCACAGCAGCCTTGTAGTGAGCCCAGTCGATGGTTGGGGGTTTCTCTGGCAGGGCAGCCAGCCTAAACAGACAGAGGACAGCAGTCACAACCAGTGCTAGGAGGAACCTTTAACCTTGCACTATCGTTTGCTCTCTGCCACAGTTACTTCCCCAAGCGTCAACAGAGCTTGCAAGGTTTAGTTTAAATATTCTCAAGTCTGTCATTAACGAGGAGTGATGAACCATTTCGGCAAATCTCTCTGCCCTTGAAACAGGCTTCTCTATACAGACAAGAAGAGCTCAGCCTGCAGCTCTGCTCCACTTCGAACCACCATACAGCATCTCTGGATGCAGCCCTGTAGACTGGGCAGTTTTCACAATACTGAGCTAGAGGCAACCAGCAACACTAACTGCAGTAGCCAAGGACGTCTGTATCAAGCAGTGCATGCTGAGGGATAGAATCATAGAATGGTCTGGGTTGGAAGGGACCTCAAAGATCTTCTCGTTCCACCCCCCCTGCCATGGGCAGGGACACCTTCCACTACACCAGGTTGCCCAAAGCCTCATTCACCCTGGCCTTGAACACTCCCAAGGATGGGGCAGCCACAACTTCTATGTGAGAAGCTGATGTGAGAAGACTGACAAATCTATACAGCATCTGGCAGAACAACAAAGCTTGCAAAACGTTTTGAAGAGGACAAACCAAACTGATTTCACAGAACTGCTTTTTTATGCTGCAGCTACTGCTTTACTCTGGGGAGGATTAAGTAAAGATGATCTGCCAAAAAAGCCACCGGCCATCTTGAAGATGGCCTGTTTTGATGGCTGTCAGGGCGCTT